GGGCGCTTAAAACGGAGGTAGACCGGACAAGAGCTAAAAAGCCGGGTCAACATAAACCATGGGGGACGCTTGGGGGTCTTGGTGACCCTGTAACCTTTCTGCTGGACAGGTAAACCGCTTTAACAAAGTAAGACAAGTGTCTGTAACAGAAGTGTTTCTTGTCAAACGGACCTGCTGTAGCGTGTTGTAGCGCCATCGCTAAACTGTCCTCCCTCGGGTCCTGGACTATGTCACTTTATCCTCGTTGTAGAAGTCCTGCAAACATTGTGTTTGCTGGTAGTCTGTTGGCATCTACAGTAGCACCAATGCTTTTGACTTTCACCTTGACTGGGCCCCATTTGTAATGATCTGAAGGATTTATCTGCATTATATCTGAATTTAACTGGAACGATACGAGCGAGCAGGAGCGTCTGTTTGTGGGCGGGGCTTGAGGGGAGAGGAGGAGCTGAGGGGAAAACTGGTTGGGAGGGGTAGAGTTTACATTCAAGATTTCTACTAAAAACTGGAACTTCATCAGATCCTGACTACAACACCTTTAACTAAGATTGTCACCGATAGACTCCAAGTCTTCCTCTAAACCAGCACACACTCTAACTTCTGACTTCTCATTGAACCTGAACCCCTCCAAAATAAAAGCCCCGGCCTCGCTCGTCCCTCTCTCGGAGTAAAATCATGAGCTCCAACCTGCAGAACATTAAACTCCTCTCAGCCACATTCCTGCCGCTCTGTACATTCCTCTGCAGGTTAACAGATCCCAGACCAGCCTGGACATGCGGGAGCTGCAGAGCTGATTTATGACATTTACTATCTGACATTTACAGCCGAGAAACAGAGGCAGGAAGGAGGGCGAGCGATGGCTTTGGTGTTTATTTTAGCATTGACTGTGGAGAGAGAGAGAGAGAGAGAGAGAGAGGAGAGTCCGTGAAAAATATCCCTGCTGGTTCACTCACTCAAATTTCTCCATCGCAGTTAAAAACGTTTATTTTAGCAGACTGTGTCCCGCTGCTTTAAAACCTGGATTACCTTTTAAAGACACGAATTATCGTGTAATTCAACGTCCAGGATAACAAGACGGCTTTGGGATTGAGTTGACAGAAGGGCGATGATAATGATTGGTTGGGTGCAGAGTTAGGAAATCACCAAAACAAAGTTGGTGAGTGCTCCAGGAGAACCTGCACCAGTCTGCAGGCAGCTGTTGAAGTGTTGTCGTCATGGTTACGACAGCATGTCTCTGATTGGTGCTTTGAAATTACCTTTTTGTGGTCAACAATGAAGTGGGAAATATCTATAGATGCCGATCACGACCAAACCTGCAGAGACCCAGACCTTATCTCCACGCAGACCTGTAGACTCTGAGGGGCGTGTCCTGATCGCACACTTTCAGCTCTGAAGGTTATGATGGCGTCATGTGGCGTGTTGCAGCTTTCATCAATGCAGCTGTCTTGCAGCGAACGCCGGGCCTCAGACTGAAGTGGAGTTTGAGGTGAATCTGAGTCGATACAGACGGTTTAGATTTCCGTCAGATTTCACTCGTCGAGGGTCCGCTGTCACGTCTCACTTTAGATTTTTCACAGTAACTCTGAATCTCATTATCGCCGTCTCTTCTTCACCTTTCCACCCCTCTCTAACCGCCCTCTCTTCCTCCGTCTCTATCAGCACTTCCTGTCTGTCTGGGTCCACTGCCGGCCACGTGGCCTCATGGGAAACACAATGTTCGCTCTCAGCCAATCAGACTGATCGTATCTGACATCTCCTGCCTGAGAACGCCGTGTTCCTCCGCCACTGTGTGTGTGTGTGTGTGTGTGTGTGTGTGTGTGTGTGTGTGTGTGTGTGTGTGTGTGTGTCTAGAGCTATGGTATCTTTACTGATTTCACTGATGGATGTTTTTTTCTGTAGGCCCAACCATTAGGGGGCGCCAACAAGGGCCCTCCTATGACTCAGGATACAATAAAATAAACAAAACCATAAACCCAAATTAACTAATTAATAAAACCGAACATTGAAATGAAACACAAAATGAATCAGAATAAATAAATTTTACAAACTATTAAAATAAAAGTTTACCAAATAAATCAAAATACATTAAAAATATATAAATTAAAATTAAAAACACAAAAGATAAAAAATAAAATAAAAGACAAACAAAAACACATTAAACAAGATAAAAAATGAAAAAACAAAATTAAAATAAATAAATTAATGAAATATAACTCATCAAAACAAAATAAGATATAATAAACAAAAATATTTATAGATTAAATAAAATGTTAAAAGTCAAGTATAAATGAACAAATTAGACAAAACAAAATAAACAAATAATAAAAAAGAAGGATTAAATCACAAAATATTTAATGCAAAAAACAAGTTCAGAAATCCAAATAAACCAAATAAAAATCTGGCTAAATTTTAAAAATTTAAAAACTAAAATGATGAACGAATTGATAAAAAAGGGGGTAAAAAAACATTATTAACAATATACAATAAATATTTTTTTAAATGTTAAGAAAAAGTTTCTGGCCTGTTAGAGATTTAATCCCTGTGTGTGTGTGTGTGTGTGTGTGTGTGTGTGTGTGTGTGTGTGTGTGTGTGTGTGTGTGTGTGTCTCTGTTAAAGTCATCACTGTACTCAGAGCTGATGTGTTAACAGGGAGGAAGCAGGAAGTGTCATTAACTGTTAGACAAACACACACACACACCTGTCCTACACTCACACACACACACACACTCACACACACACACACACACACACACACACACAGATGAACCTGTTTTGTATTAAAATCTTTTTGTCGTAGTTGAAACTTTATTTAAACGGGTCCTTAAACAGATTTATGATGGGGTCAAAGGTCAAAGAGAGCTGAGAGGGAAACTCAGGTGGTTACCATGGTAACCGTGAGTTCCAAACAGAAACATCTCCTCTGTAATTTCACCCTCATCATCTTCAACGACTTCCACCTTCATTTGTTTTTCCTTCTCCACCTGTGTGTGATCTTTCAGCTGTTTCTGTTTCTATTCTTCTTATTGTTCTTTCCTCTTCTTCTTTCTTTCTTTTTTCTTCTTTCTCCTTTTTTTCTCTTTCTTTCTTTGTTTCTTCTTCTTTAATTTTTCCCCCTCTTCTTTTTAGTGTTATCCTTCTTATCCTTCCATCCTCTCTTCTTTATCTTCTTTTATCGTTTCATAATTTAACCCTTAAATTCACCTTTTTGGTCGTTAAACAAAACACCGTCTGTTTTTTTTCTCTAACCCGTGCACGCTCCGATCCGACTCTTTTGATTTGACTCTTTTATATTCCGATCCGCTTGTTTCTGCGTCGTTGTGGACACGGCCCCCGGTGGTCTCTGCTGGTACTGCAGCTGATTCCCTCTCCATTCTTCACTCCGGATGTTTTTTGCGCTCGCTGTAACGGCGCCGCTCGCTCACTCTGCAGCTGTAACCTGTTAAAGGATGACTCTTACACATCACTTCTCAGGTTTCTCTTCAGGTTCTTCGCTCCGTCCCCGTTTCTGCTGAGGAGCGGCGTTTTCGAAGCGTCTGCGTTTTTGATTTACGGTGGGAATGTTCCCCTCCTCTCCTCTTTCTCCTCTTCCTCCCTCGTTCCTCATCTGTCCATCCTGTGGAGACGTTTTCAGTGTCTTTCTCCTTTTAAATGTCAGCGTGCAGAGCCATAAAACATCTGTCCGAACACACACACACACACACACACACACACACACACACACACACACACACACACACACTCTCAGGCTTCAGGATAACCCTTATATAAGGCTCGGGGGGGCTGTGGGGTCAAGGTTCTCTGTGTGTCTTTGTAGGAAATTCAGGTGAGATTTACAGTCTCCTCTGGCTCTCAGAGTCACACACAGCTCTCCTGCAGCGGGGAGGAAACCCTGCAGTGTGTACTCGTGTGTGTGCGTTTTGTGTTAGTGTGTGTCCATCACAGAAAATGACAAAGAAGTGATCGAGAACATCAGAAACTTTAAATATGACCTTTAAATTTGGTGCGAGTTAAAGAACAGTATCATGGGGATGAATCTGCCTCCCAGTCACTGAAATCAGACCTTCACTGGTTTTGTTGGTGAAATAATCCTGCTGATGGTTTCAGGTCCACAACCTCCACATCAGCCCGGCTGTCCACGCACCAGAACCCTGCAGGAGGTGGACCAACAGGACCATTCAGGCTGGGCTGACCCAGGACACAAGGACCTCCAGACCATCTCAGGGAAGCTCCAGTGAAGCTCTGGGTGAGTCGACTGCAGACCTGCTCATCTGGACTAGAGATAAAAATGACCGTCCTCTGAGGAGGTAAAGGTCAAAGACTCCGGGTAAACCTGGTCTCGGTCAAAAACCAACCTGTCGTCGTCATGGATCACAGATTAGCAGACTCACCTGATCCTTGATTGACAGGCTGCTGCTGATAAGATTAGAGAAGTTAAAGGGATATTCCAGCATAAAATTAATCTAGGGTCAAACCCACCGTAACACCGAGTTATAAACCCCCTCCAGAGACGAATGTTGCCGACCGCTTGCTTCTCTAGTTATACCAACTTTAGTAACTACAGCGAGGTGCCGCAGCTCAAGGAAGAACATTTATGATCATTTCTTTGTCATTTCCTTGAAGTAATAATCACCATATTGATCATTTTACAGACGCGGTAGTTCTTCTTTCTTAGCGTCTCGGTCTGATTGTATTTCCATGAAGAAATGATCATAAATGTTCTTCCTTGAGCTGCGGCACCCCGCTGTAGTTACTAAAGTTGGTATAACTAGAGAAGCAAGCGGTCGGCAACATTCATCTCTGGAGGGGGGGTCTAACTGTGTTACGGTGGGTCTGACGCTTAAGAGCTGAGTTACTCTATGCGTCACATTAAAACCAGGTCCACACACTAGAGCAGCAGAGGCCTCGTCTGTAATAACCACACACACCTCAGGGTTCAGCGTCTCGCCCAAGAACGTTTGAGTTGGACCGCCGACCTTTCGATCAACAAGACGATCGACTCGGAGTCTCGATAAAAACAGTTTTTGTGACGACAGTTTTCACCAACATCTAGATCATGACTTTTTGAGAAACTGCAGAAAGTTTTGGACCGACTCATTTCTAAAATAAAACTTTAAACTGTGACTCTGAAGCCGAAAACATCCAGGATCTATACTGAGCGTGTTGTTCTGTATTTGCTCCGTAGAGCAGCGTTGGGTTTCTCATACAGGATCAGCGTTTTTGGAGCGTAGTTCAGCCCACATGGATCAGGGATCGACCATCGGATTGTTCTGTTACTGATAAATCCAGAACCAGGATTATTTCTCATCGACACCAACTGATATACAGTCAGGAGTTCACAGATGGGCTTTTATTTTGAAATACTAGATGACACGTACAGTTTTCCTGCTTCACTTCCTGTCAGGAACGATCTTCTCTGTGTGGATTGAAGCGTAGAGCGTCAAAAATCGACTCGGCACGTATCTTTAGCAGAGCTGCTCTCGATACGATGCTGCGACGGAGCTGAGACACGCCCTGTACGCTCTGCTGCGTTGATTAGAATAGAAACCTATTTGCTGCGAGATACGCGCTAAATACGGATCCTGTATGTTTGAGCCTCGACTCTCTGTTGTATTATTGTTGATTATAATCTCTCTCTGACTCTCACTGGTCAATCCTTCAGCTGTGAGGAGTTAAATTTCCACTCAAAGATCATTATTTATGTTCATGTATTCATCGGTTCAGGATGAACTGAGGATGAAATGAACTTCTCTAATATCTCACCTCGAAGAGTCGAGTTTCTACCGTCATCCTCCTGAATCATCATCATCATCCTGTCAGGATAATCCAGAGGAATGATGACGGCGGCTGAACAACAGGATGAACAATATCTGCAGAGACTCAGAATTAGAGCTGGAGAGTAAAAAAAAAAGAGGAAAGGAAATGAAATGAAGAAATGTGAGTTCAGAGAGAAAGAGGAGAGTTTAGTCATCAGAAGAATAAATGAAGAGAAACGAAGGAGCGAAAGAGAGACGACTGAACCCTGTGACATTCACTACAATAGACGCTCATTACACCAAACTTGTTTGACGTCAGTTTCCCTACGCTTGAATGTAAGAACATGTGCACACACTCACACACACACTCACACACACACACACCTACACACACCTAGTTAACTCCAGGGTCTGTCAATCAAGCCGACACATCCTGACTTCCTGCCTTATCACGGCGGTAATAACCCAGCCTTCATGAAACCATCATCACCATCATCACGGTCTAATCGTAGGCGCTCTGATTCATGATCACCTCCACCTGCGTGTCACATCCAGGGCAGAGCTCTGATTGGTCCAAAGGTGACACTGTTAATAAGGAAATAAGGGAACAATGGGACCGTGACTGTGAGAGCACGCCGCGAGTTCAGGAAGTTCACCTGAGCGGAGGATCTGATACCGTCAGAGTTCAAGACTCAACCACAAGAAAGTGAGCATGAGAGACCGAGACCGGCTCCTCGGGTCCTCAGATCAGATCAGGGATCCAGCGTGGACCACATATGCCCAACTTCAGTAACTGTTTTAGACGATCAATATGAAATAACCCCAGATTAGGATTAAGAAATCAAAGACCTGAAGGTTAATCTTAGACCATAAACTTCCACATGACAACCCAGGACCATGAAAACCCAAATAAGACCTTCAAAACCATCTTCAAAGTCAAGTTTGGACCTCATGGACAAAAGAAAATCCAAAGACATCCCACCAGAAACCCGGACATCCCAGTTCTGATTCAGAAAGACCAGTTCTAGACCAGGGACCATAGATCCTCAGTTTAATCCAGTTACCTGGTGAAGTCTAGATCATTGAAGACTCTCCAACAGAGTCCAGATCTTAACAGAGACTGACCAAAACAGACTTTGATGGTTTCTAAACTCTAAATGTCTTCAGAGTCAGGACCACATCAGTCCAGGACTCTTCTCCTTCAGAGCCACGAGTTTATGAACGATCGTCAATAAACGATCGTTCATGAACTCGTTCATATTTCAGGCGAACATGAGCGTATCGTTCTTTATTTCGCTGATGTTGAACATGCTCATTCTGGCGTCTGTAGTGGCGTTCTAAACTCCGTTCACGAGTGTCTCAGATGTCCAGAGTCTTCAAGGAGAAACCCAAACTAAAACACTAAAACACGCCGTAAACAGACCTTCATATTTAGAGGAAAGACACCCAATCTGACAACCGCCAACAGCCTGTCAGTCGCTCTGACAAATACGTCGGTAAACATGATGGACGAGGGAGGAGCACTCGCTGCCCGGAGCGCACAGACTCGTCTGAACACTTAAAAGAGTTTTATATCAAAGTCAACGACGACACAGACGGTAAAAATCGAACCTTTCTGTGTAAACTTTGTCCGCCTGGTTTGAGGAAGACCGAACATCGACGACGTCTTCAGGGAACCTTAAACAGATATCAGATCATTATAGTTAAACGGTTCTTGTTGTTTCCAGTCTTTGTTCTGGTTCCTCTTCAGTCAGACTGAAACTGAATTTGATGTGAATTGTTTCCCGGTCGGTTTGGAAAAGTAAAATAAACTTCAGGACTTCAGTCGTGTCGTTGAGGACTGAACTAAACATCAGGGAGACACCGGTATTCTGAGGACTGTCCTCTCTGCTGTAAACCTGTTTGGATTAGGATTAAAAATGGAGATGAAGATAATCTGACGGAGTTTCAGGGTTAAAACAGCTAAAATTATTGCTGTCTGTGGTTTTATAAGGGCGCCGTAAAAAATTAAAAATGTGCAGTTCTGAACGATGACTTTGGTTTTAATCCCTGCTGTCAGAATGTGGTTTAGGATCATCTGAAGGTCTTCCCTGAAAAGGTCTTTGACTGGATGGACGCAGATGTTGCTCCTAAACCTGGAGATATTGTTCAGCAGTAATGGGGCCTTCAAAGATGACGTGGACTCTGATGATCCCCAGACCATCAGGGTCTCTAGACTTGGACTGGGAGCTGAGAACCAGCTCGGTCGTCTTTCCTTTTACAGAGGAGGATGTGGCGTCTAAGAAAACCAATCAGGACAGTTTCCCTCGTCCCTTTAGTCCACCTTGAACTGGCTCAGGTCCAGAGACGTCTCTGGTGTTCCTGAACCTCTAATGAAAGAGTGTATTTTCACTTTGTTTTGAACCTCAGAGAGAGTTCAGTCCTAAAAACCTCCGTCTCTCATGAATGAGCAGAGTGATCTGAAGATTGCTCCGTAGTTTGTCTTTTGTTCGGATTAGTGGAAACGCTCTCGCTCTGCGCTGCGTCGGAGGTTTAAAGACCTTTGAAAACCTTCTTTGTAAGTCAATCACGCTGTTATTATTACAGGTTATCAGTTCCTGTTCCTCTCGTCTCTCTCACTCCCTCTGAGCTCAGAAGTTCTCCCTGACTTGTCATGTCAGGAGGACGTTGACGTCAGATCCTGATAAACTTCAGTAATGAACTTTTCCTCGAAGAACTCGTTCACCTGGACCTCTATTTTATTCTCTGACCGCTCGTTCAGCTTCATTCACATCTCCTTTAACCTGCCTCTGTTTGTCCAGTTTCCACCATCATCCCCATTATCCCCTCCATACTGGACTTCCTGTTTCCTTTTATGGAGGACTTTGATTTCCTGTTTCTAGGATGGACTCCTCGAGATGGACCGTCGGGTTTTTGAAGAGACATCACAGCATGAGATTTCAGTCAGATACAAAACAAAACCTGTGTGTGTGTGTGTGTGTGTGTGTGTGTGTGTGTGTGTGTGTGTGTGTGTGTGTGTGTGTGTGTGTGTGTGTGTGTGTTGGACTCGTGCTCGGGGTTATGTAAGCCTTCAGGTGTTCATTAATCCAGAGGAAACTCAGAGACGGAGCAGATGATCACACAGAGGACTTCTGAGGTGTTACACTGTTTTGTGTGTTTAAAGTGTGTGTGTGTGTGTGTGTCTGTGTGTGTGTGTGTGTGTGTTGCCCTGTGGAGTCATTTCCTCATGGTGGGAATCGTCCTTTATTAAACACTTTAATCCTATTTTGACGACTCTGCAGGGTAAAACGATAGCAGGCCAGGAAATTAAACCGTGTGTGTGTGTGTGTGTGTGTGTGTGTGTGTGTGTGTGTGTGTGTGTGTGCAGGAATGTGTTGGCCGCTCTTTCAGCAGCAGGATGATGAATGAGATGAATGAACACAGTCTGTTTCGCAGGCGTCTCCGTCTCTCTGATCGTTCCTGATATTTTTCACTCGTTCATGTCGGAGGGTGAATTCTGTCCTGATTGATCGATGTTCTCCTGATCTGCTCCGAATCACTCGTAGATAAAAACGTGATGGACAGAAACTTCACTCTGCTTGAGACGGAGCGCTAACACAAACACGTCAGGCTCTCTTTAACACTTTTGACTGGGTGTTACAGTTTACACAGCTTTGTAGCTCTTCAATAGCTAAAACTGACGTCTTTACAGGAAAGGTTTGAGGCTCGCAGTTGGTGTCAAGCCTTTGTTCTGCTGCGTTTCCACCGAAAAGGCTAAACACTGCATGGGGTGCTACTTTTTACACAGCTATGAAGTCATGAAATGACCAGAATATTTCTCAGGCCAGCTGTCAGTGTCCTCATTAGCTCTGTTATCAGCTGTTATAATGGTGTTTCCAGTCTCTGAGCTTCATGAAGGTCTTTTAAGATGAACAGCTCCAGGTTTCAGGACCAGCTGAGACTCTGATCCAGCTCACCCTCGTCTTTGTTTCCAAAAGTGTCCTCAGTGAAGTGGCGAACACAAACAGCTACAACGAAGTAATTAGTAAATAATTTCATATTTAAATATAAAAAATGTCATTGTATGGTAAGATAAAAATTTAATATTTTGGTGTGAAAAAAATATATTTTAAGATGTTATAGTGTAGTACGATAAAGTATAGGGTGATTAAACGTTCACATTTTATTTTGGAAAAATTTTGCTATTTTGATACTGGAAATAATGTCATAGTATAGTATGTTAAAAATTTCAAATTTTAGTGTGAAATTTTTTTTCCTTTTTTGATATGGAAAATAATGTCATAGTATAGTATGATCAAAATGTCATAGTATAGTAAGTTAAACAATTTCAAATTTTAGTGTGAAATTTTTTTTCCTTTTTTGATATGGAAAATAATGTCTTAGTATAGTATGATCAAAATGTCATAGTATAGTAAGTTAAACAATTTCAAATTTTAGTGTGAAAAAAAAATTCATATGTTTGTATGAAAAATAATGTCATAGTTTAGTATGACAAAAATTTCAAATTTAAGTGTGAAATTTTTTTTCCTGTTTTAATATGGAAAATAATGTCATAGTATAGTATGACAAAAATGGGTTAGTATAGGATGTTAAAAATTTTAAATTTTAGTGTGAAAAAAAATTCATATGTTTGTATGAAAAATAATGTCATAGTATAGTATGATAAAAATGTCATAGTATAGTATGTTAAAAATTTCAAATTTTAGTGTGAAATTTTTTTTCCTTTTTTAATATGGAAAATAATGTCATAGTATAGTATGATAAAAATGTCCAATTTTAGTGTGAAAAAAAAATTCATGTTTGTATGAAAAATAATGTCATAGTATAGTATGACAAAAAATTCAAATTGAAGTGTGAAAAAAAATTCATGTTTGTATGAAAAATAATGTCATAGTATAGTATGACAAAAATTTCAAATTTTAGTGTGAAGAAAAATTCCTTTTTTGATATGAAAAATAATGTAATAGTATAGTATGATAAAAATGTCATAGTATAGAATGACAAAAATTTCAAAATTTTAGTGTGAATTTTTTTTTCCTTTTTTAATATTGAAAATAATGTCATAGTACAGTATGATAAAATGTCATAGTATAGTATGACAAAAATTTCAAATTTTAGTGTGAAAAAAAAATTCCGCATTTGATATGAAAAATAATGTAATAGTATAGTATGATAGAAATGTCATAGTATAGTGTGACAAAAATTTCAAAATTTAGTGTGAATTTTTTTTTCCTTTTTTAATATGGAAAATAATGTCATAGTACAGAATGATAAAATATCATAGTATAGTATGGCAAAAAATTCAAATTTTAGTGTGAAAATTTTTTTCCTTTTTTAATATGAAAAATTATGTCATAGTATAGAATGATAAAAATGTCATAGTATAGTATGTTAAAATTTTCAAATTTAAGTGTGAAAAATATTTTCCTTTTTTAATATGGAAAATAATGTCATAGTATAGTATGATAAAAATGTCATAGTATAGTATGTTAAAAATTTCAAATTTAAGTGTGAAAATTTTTTTCCTTTTTTAATATTGAAAATAATGTCATAGTATAGTATGATAAAAATGTCATAGTATAGTATGTTAAAAATTTCAAATTTTAGTGTGAAAATCTTTTTCCTTTTTTAATATGGAAAACAATGTCATAGTATAGTATGAAAAAAATGACATAGTATAGTATGACAAAAATTTCAAATTTAAGTGTGAAAAAAATTCCTTTTTTGTTATGAAAAATAATGTCATAGTATAGTATGACAAAAATTTCTAATTTTAGTGTGAAATTTTTTTTCCTTTTTTAATATGGAAAATAATGTCATAGTATAGTATGATAAAAATGACATAGTAAAGTATGTTAAAAATTTCAACTTTTAGTGTGAAAATAAAAATCCTTTTTTGATATGAAAAAAAATGTCATAGTTTAGTATGATCAAAATGTCATAGTATAGTATGACAAAAATTTATAATTTTAGTGTGAAAATTTTTTTTTCCTTTTTTAATTTGGAAAATAATGTCATTGTATAGTATGATAAAAATGACAGTATAGTATGACAAAAATTTCAAATTTTAGTGTGAAAATTTTTTTCCTGTTTTAATATGGAATATAATATCATAGTATAGTATGATCAAAATGTCATAGTATAGTATGTTAAAAATTTCAAATTTTAGTGTGAAAATTTTTTTCCTTTTTTAATATGGAAAACAATGTCATAGTATAGTATGATAAAAATGACATAGTATAGTATGACAAAAATTTCAAATTTAAGTGTGAAAAAAAAATTCCTTTTTTGATATGAAAAATAATGTCATAGTATAGTATGATAAAAATGTCATAGTATAGTATGACAAAAATTTATAATTTTAGTGTGAAAATTTTTTTCCTTTTTTAATATGGAAAATAATATCATAGTTTAGTATGATCAAAATGTCATAGTATAGTATGACATAAATTTCAAATTTTAGTGTGAATTTTTTTTTTCCTTTTTTAATTTGGAAAATAATGTCATAGTATAGTATGATAAAAATGTCATAGTATAGTATGACAAAAATTTCAAATTTTAGTGTGAAAATTTTTTCCTTTTTTAATATGGAAAATAATGTCATAGTATAGTATGATCAAAATGTCATAGTATAGTATGACATAAATTTCAAATTTTAGTGTGAAAATTTTGAAAATTTTTTCCTTTTTTAATATGGAAAATAATGTCATAGTATAGTATGATCAAAATGTCATAGTATAGTATGACATAAATTTCAAATTTTAGTGTGAAAATTTTTTCCTTTTTTAATTTGGAAAATAATGTCATAGTATAGTATGATAAAAATGACATAGTATAGTATGACAAAAATTTCAAATTTTAGTGTGAAAATTTTTTTCCTGTTTTAATATGGAAAATAATATCATAGTATAGTATGATAAAAATGTCATAGTATAGTATGTTAAAAATTTCAAATTTTAGTGTGAAAATTTTTTTCCTTTTCTAATATTGAAAACAATGTCATAGTATAGTTTGATAAAAATGACATAGTATAGTATGACAAATATCAAATTTAAGTGTGAAAAAAAAATTCCTTTTTTGATATGAAAAATAATGTCATAGTATAGTATGATAAAAATGTCATAGTATAGTATGACAAAAATTTCTGATTTTAGTGTGAAAATTTTTTTCCTTTTTTAATATGGAAAATAATGTCATAGTATAGTATGATCAAAATGTCATAGTATAGTATGACATAAATTTCAAATTTTAGTGTGAAAATTTTTTTCCTTTTTTAATTTGGAAAATAATGTCATAGTATAATATGATAAAAATGACATAGTATAGTATGACATAAATTTCAAATTTTAGTGTGAAAATTTTTTTCCTGTTTTAATTTGGAAAATAATGTCATAGTATAGTATGATAAAAATGACATAGTATAGTATGACAAAAATTTCAAATTTTAGTGTGAAAATTTTTTTCCTGTTTTAATATGGAAAATAATATCATAGAATTTTTTTTTTCCTTTTTTAATTTGGAAAATAATGTCATAGTATAGTATGATAAAAATGTCATAGTATAGTATGACAAAAATTTCAAATTTTAGTGTGAAAATTTTTTCCTTTTTTAATATGGAAAATAATGTCATAGTATAGTATGATCAAAATGTCATAGTATAGTATGACATAAATTTCAAATTTTAGTGTGAAAATTTTTTTCCTTTTTTAATTTGGAAAATAATGTCATAGTATAGTATGATAAAAATGACATAGTATAGTATGACAAAAATTTCAAATTTTAGTGTGAAAATTTTTTTCCTGTTTTAATATGGAAAATAATATCATAGTATAGTATGATAAAAATGTCATAGTATAGTATGTTAAAAATTTCAAATTTTAGTGTGAAAATTTTTTTCCTTTTCTAATATTGAAAACAATGTCATAGTATAGTTTGATAAAAATGACATAGTATAGTATGACAAATATCAAATTTAAGTGTGAAAAAAAAATTCCTTTTTTGATATGAAAAATAATGTCATAGTATAGTATGATAAAAATGTCATAGTATAGTATGACAAAAATTTCTGATTTTAGTGTGAAAATTTTTTTCCTTTTTTAATATGGAAAATAATGTCATAGTATAGTATGATCAAAATGTCATAGTATAGTATGACATAAATTTCAAATTTTAGTGTGAAAATTTTTTTCCTTTTTTAATTTGGAAAATAATGTCATAGTATAATATGATAAAAATGACATAGTATAGTATGACATAAATTTCAAATTTTAGTGTGAAAATTTTTTTCCTGTTTTAATTTGGAAAATAATGTCATAGTATAGTATGATAAAAATGACATAGTATAGTATGACAAAAATTTCAAATTTTAGTGTGAAAATTTTTTTCCTGTTTTAATATGGAAAATAATATCATAGTATAGTATGATCAAAATGTCATAGTATAGCATGTTAAAAATTTCAAATTTTAGTGTGAAAATTTTTTTCCTTTTTTAATATGGAAAACAATGTCATAGTATAGTATGATCAAAATGACATAGTATAGTATGACAAAAATTTCAAATTTAAGTGTGAAAATTTTTTTCCTTTTTTGATATGAAAAATAATGTCATAGTATAGTATGATAAAAATGTCATAGTATAGTATGACAAAAATTTATAATTTTAGTGTGAAAATTTTTTTCCTTTTTTAATATGGAAAATAATGTCATAGTTTAGTATGATCAAAATGTCATAGTATAGTATGACATAAATTTCAAATTTTAGTGTGAAATTTTTTTTCCTTTTTTAATTTGGAAAATAATGTCATAGTATAGTATGATAAAAATGACATAGTATAGTATGACAAAGATTTCAAATTTTAGTGTGAAAATTTTTTCCTTTTTTAATATGGAAAATAATGTCATAGTATAGTATGATCAAAATGTCATAGTATAGTATGACATAAATTTCAAATTTTAGTGTGAAAATTTTTTTCCTTTTTTAATTTGGAAAATAATGTCATAGTATAGTATGATAAAAATGACATAGTATAGTATGACAAAAATTTCAAATTTTAGTGTGAAAATTTTTTTCCTGTTTTAATATGGAAAATAATATCATAGTATAGTATGATAAAAATGTCATAGTATAGTATGTTAAAAATTTCAAATTTTTAGTGTGAAAATTTTTTTCCTTTTCTAATATTGAAAACAATGTCATAGTATAGTATGATAAAAATGACATAGTATAGTATGACAAATATCAAATTTAAGT